GAGTGTCATTCTGTGACAGGTTTGGAATCTTAGTTAACTAAATAGGGCCAGGGCTGAAATCCTCCTGGTTTCACTGGCCCTCCTGCTTTCTTCCCTGCAGTCCACCAGTCCTAACGGGATGGTTCCCCAGGCTTCAGGCTGTTTCCAGTTCTCTTTAAGCCTGGTCAGTTGCTTTCTGCTGAAGAGTGGGAGGGTATATTAAACATGTTTTTAAGTTTTCTGTATCCTGATGCTGTGACACCTGGGGCTGTGCTGACCCTGGAGGGACTGCCCCTCCCAGGGTTAGCCAACTCGGAGGGACAGTAAGTGACTCACTTGGGAAAGCGCATCTTTCCTATGCAAACCAGCCAATCTAGAGTCACCCCCAACCACTTCCTTTAGTGGGCTGTTTCTCAGGGCCACCATCCACCTGTTCTAATCACCCCAGGGCCAGGTACCAGACAACTAGGGACAGTCCCTATGTCCCAAAGCTCACAGAAATTATTCAGAGGAGCCAGTGCTGAGCCTGTTTACCCAGTCTTGCATTACCATTCCTGCAGAAATCACAACAATGTCTGCATTTTCCCCTTGCTCCCCCAGGCCCCTGACCAGTCCTGATGCTTCCTCATATGCCCCCACTGTATGAGAAGCTATGCCTCCTCTTTTACACATGGGGAATTTCACTTTTAATAGTAACACCCCAGACCAATTAAATCAGAACCTCTAAAAATATGACCCAAACTTTAAGAGGTTTTTTTTTTTTAAATTCCCCAGGTGATTCCAAAGTGAGGCCAAGATTGAGAATGAGCTCTTTAAAACATCCCCATTGACGTTTTCCTAGTACACATTTCTAAATTAAAAAAAAATTGTTCCCATAGTCATCTCCAATGAATTCCTTCAAATACTAAAAAATACAGAGGATATTTTAGCTTAGAATCTTACCCTCTTCACTATCTACTGCCACTTATATCTACATTTATGCCTCAATTGCATAATTATCCATGAGGGAGATCAGATTTTGCCAATAAAAAAGATTTTACCCAAGACAGTGAGGAATTTTTGGTGAAGAAGGGGTTAAGATGATAGCCAGCCCAGTTGCATGCTGGGAATTGTAGTACAATAGTAGTGCCCAGCCAGTGAGGCGCTACCAGCTCCAAAGCAGCTCACAGCATCTCTCATTCTACACAGCCCATCAGAGGGGCAGTGTCCAGCAGTGGCTAATACTGTGGAGGTCAGAGCCAGGACACCTGGTTTCGATCACAGCACCAACTCTCACTAGCTACAGGACCCTGGGCCAACAACTTAACCTCTGACCCTCTGTTTCCTTTTCTGCTAACATAGGGGAAATAATAGTAATATCTAGCCCATGGAATTGTTATGAGGATTAAGCGAGTCAATATATGTAAAGTGCTTTAGAGTGGCAGCTGGCACATAATATGCATTTTATGAGTCAGCTTTCATTATTATTACTTCTGAACTCCTTTCTTGGCCCAATTTCTATTCTCATGTACTGTAAGAGGTGAAAATCCCCTGATTCCACAGTTAGAACACCAGAGGTTAGCTGTCCTCGGCAAAAGTATTCATATCTGTCTAAATTGTCTTCTGGTCATTTCTCTTTAAGACCATGAGGTTGAGTTAGGGGCAAAGGCCAATGAAATTAGCTATCAGAGCGCGGTGCACCTACTTGAATGAGTGTCCCTGGATGTCACCTGCCCAGCCTCTGCTCTCTCTGCTGACAGCGGTCCCCAACTTGCCTTCGTGGAACCACCTCTCTCCCACCATGTGCACTCTTGGTGAGATTGCCAGTCAAGCTGCTCCATTTTTCCAGGGCAATGGGCAGGGCGCCTGACCCAAGCTCAGTCCATCACACTCTATCTTTTGGTGAGGAACATGGGGATAAGAGTAAGCTGGACTAGATTTGTCAGAGGGCATCATCCATTAGCTCCTGCCACATTGATTCCCAAGTTCTCACAAGTTCCTTCATTCAAATCCTCCTTGGTCAACCCTTCCTTGGATTCTGTGAGTCACTCTATCACCAAGGCAACAAGGTCCTTTTACGCTTGCGTTGGCAGAGTCAGTGTCTACCACTTGCAACCAAAGAGTCCTAATGACCCACTACTGCTAAATAATCTTAAAGATACGTCCCTTGACCCCCTTCCCATTTATTTCCAGTGGAATGCCATTTTGCAACATTCTCTCCATATACATCATCACTCATCCTAATATCAACAATGCAGAGATAGTATTGTTATTTTTACTTTATTAATGTTGCAAATGAGGCACAGAGAAGCTAAGCAACTTGCCCAAGTTCAAACAGCCAGTGAAGAACAGAAACAATATTCCAACAAGTCTAATTGCTAACTTAAACCAGTAAGTGAAATTTATTGGAGTCAAGATCATTTCCCTGCCATTTTGGACTCCTGGGTTGGGAGAGGATCTTTAGCATCCTCTAACGCAGTTTTCTTTTCTTTCTTTTTTTTTTTTTTTTTTTTTTTTGGCTGTAAACTGAAAGAAGCACAATTTATATCACAACTGTGCCTACATACATACACAAAGAATGGAAACAAAGGCTTCACAAGGCAATAGCTATCCTTACTGATGCAATATGCTCTAATTTTTATTCAAAATGATTTTACTTTTCAAATTCTACTTGCACTCACTAGATTGATGTTGACGTCCCGACCCACTATCATATCCGACATGCAGCTTTGCATACCCTGCTCTGTTGAGAAAGCTGCTTAAAATGACACCAGTTTGCATGTCTGAGTGTTTGTAAAAGGAGGCAAGGCCATGCTTGATCTTTTAAGCCTCCCAATAGTGATTTGTTTACTTCCACAATGTGTGTTTCCTAGGCCACACCAGCCTGAGGGGAAAACTGGGATCATAACCAGGCACATGCTGTTCCTTTCTCACTCTGCTTTCAACAGCTCTTCCAGAACCACCAGAAACCCCCAGCCGAGGACCCCCTTCCAGTCTTTCTGAGGATGCCCAGGGAACACTGTACATGTGCTCCCAAACATCATACCTTGTCCCTCATTTTCCTTCTCTTCTGCGCTGCCTCCCTGCTGGGAATCTTTCCCAGTTCCTTTGATGTCTGCAGGGCTGTCACTGCTGCTGAGCCACCAAGGCTGAGCTGCTCCTGGTGAAAAATTCCATGACTTTGGTCTGATCCCCAGGCGTGAACAGGAGCATTGTTTGTCTTATCTCTTCAGCAGCTCCTGGTGCCACCACTGCAAAGTGCATAGTTGCTTATAGCACCTCCATGCCATGCAACGGTGCCCAGCACACTAGAGAGAACTCCCATTTTGTTACAGGAAAGATTTTTCTTACTGTCTTCTAACTTACATGCGCTTAAGGGCAGCAGGCTGATAAAGGTCTTCATCTTGTATTCACAACCACCTTAATCTTCTCCAGCTCTGGACCTTGTCCTTGGGCCAAACATCGGTGTTCCTGCTCTCACCCAAACTGGTGAGATTTCTTTTTTCCAAGAGGCAACTTGTTTCCTTCCCATGGTTAGACCCTTGACAAGGCCACAGTGTGTCATCCTGCTCAGAAGTGCCTGCTTCCCAAAGTGAATATACGCTTCAGCTAACCCCATTTTCATTTGAGAGCTTTGCTTCCCAGGTCCCAGGAGTCACATGTTCAGAATTCAAGTCCTGTTGCAACCATGATGAGAATGATGGTGATGCTGCTGCTGATGATGATGGATCTTTCACACGTATCAGACTGTACAAGAAGCACTTTTAGATACATTATCATGTTTAATTTTTAATGACTCTATGTGATACATACTACTATTATCCTCATTTTACAGAGGAGAAAATTGTGACTTAGGAAGGTTAAATCGGCCCATGGTCACATGGCTGGCAAACTGCAGAGCTCAGCTAGTCCTCTACAGCTCAGACTGGGCATTGAGCCGGCCTCAGCTGGGCATCCTGGCTTCCCTGGGCCTCCTTCCAACTCTGCTTTAATCCTTTCCAAGCCCCTCTCCCCAGGGTCCCCATTCTGATCCACAGGTGGGTGGCCACACCTTATCTGAAGGCCTCCAAGATGGTGGAAACCCCTAAGCTTCCACCTCCTGCTTCCATCTCTGCACTCCGTGGGGCTTCCTGGAGGGGGAGGATGGGAAGCATTATCGGCAATAGGGCCTCCTCTTCAGGCTCTCAAGACTTCAGTGTAGCAACCTGCCTTCATCTCCCCAGGTCCCTCCTCAGATCCAGTTCCGGAGCCAGGAAGTGGTTTCTTCTCCCCAAAAGGTCGCCAGCATCCTGCATTACATGGTTAAATTTTGCCTGACCTTAGTGGGTGTTTTTAATTGAATAAAGAATTCAAGTCTGGGTTTTAAATGCCATAGAAAAAGAAAACGTTACTGTCTTTTCAGAATGCCCATTGTAATTTGCCCTTAGAGTTTCTCCTCCCCACACCTCCCTTCCCCAATGGTCTTTCTCCCCCTTGAGCTGACAAACTGAACCACCAGATAAATACAGCTGCAAAGTGAACAGTGTGTGTATGACTTCTTCCCCTCATTCATCTGCCTTCCTGGCTTTACCAAGTCAAAAGAAAAAGCCAGCTCACCCCTTCCTTGGCTGTGCCTTCACAGCACAAAGCCAACAGCTAGTCAAGCAGTCTTCATGATTTGAAACATTTGAAAGTGAAACGTAGTAACTTAGCCCGATCAATTCCATCAGTCATTTTAACCAAGTTTCTGCCATTGGGTCTCGCCCCATGCAGGGTGGTGGCCTCTGTGTGGTCTCTCCACACATCAGTTTCTCCATCTGTAATATGCAAGGATCGAATCCAAGATCTTTGAGGTCCCTGAAGCTTCTCGGGTTCTTCATTTTGTAGTTAAAGAACACATCATTTACAAGTTAGATGATTTAGGGGGTGACTTCGAATAAAAACGATCCTCCATAAAACTTTTACCACATAATTATTTTATGGAGCAAGTTTCCACTGGGCACTTGAAGCAGGGTTCAATTTACAAAAACCTGACTTGCAGCCAACTTTTAAATGACACTTACTGTTTAAAGTGAGGTTTGTCCAGAGGTCACAGTTTCTCAAAACACTGTCCTCCATTCCCTCCTCCACAGAGTCCTTGTCAGTGAAGCATTCGTAGAACAGACTTGCAAATCATGACTTCTCTTGAAGAGGTTTTCTGTTTCCCTTCTGTAAAGAAAAACACCACACAGTATTTACAACCCCACAAAAACTAGCTTAGTGATAATAACCTACTGGTCATTTTGTAACACAAACCAGGTAATATCACCCCTCTGCCTGATTGTGCAGAGGCATGCCATTGCTCTGCAGATCACGAGGTGGACTTTATGTATGCTGTTCCTCCTAGCTGGAGTGTTCTCACCAACCCTCTCTGTTATTCCTCCTTACCTCAGAACTCAGCTCAATCAATGCTTCTTCAGGGAATGGGCCCCTGACTTCCTTGACTAGGTGAGATCCTTTTACTAGAACTGCAAGGTGCAACTGGAATTTTATTTGGCTGAGCATGACCATGAATGGACTGTACACTCGCTGTTGCTGGCATAGGCATCCGGGTTGCCCACTACATGCACAATGCTACGTAGGCCCTGGGTTCCTAGAGGGTCTCTAACTTCATGGACCTTGCAGTCTTCTGGGGCAAACAGACAGTTATCGAATTCGAGAATGCACCTGAATGCCACTGTCCCCTGCAAAGAGCTTACAGAGAACTGAACAAGTGATTGAAGTTAGCATGGGACTGGCTGCATGAGCAAAGGGTAGAATGGCAACGCTTTAAGCTCTGATGCAGAATGAGGTTATGTCAAAATCACCCATTTGCTCAAGCAGTCCTTTTAATACTTTCAGTCTAAGAAGCTAGAGGAGAGAGGAACATGGCCTGATATCCCAGGCTGGCCACGCCAAGTTGAAGGATGGCCGCCTTCACCATGGTGAGATAACCAGGGGTCTGTTTTCCTCCTCTTCCTCCATCCCAAGAGTCTTCCTACTCTCTTGGACTAAACCACCCCAGCCCAAAGCCAGGGCCTCTTGATTGCTTCTTTAAATGAATTTTCTTTTCCAAGGGCCCACGCTCTCCTCTCCAGTACATGAGTAACATAGTCTATCATTTTCATGTAATTCCAGAATGTCTCTGCTACCATCCCCATTTTACAGACAGGAGAGTAGATTCAGCCAGTTCACAGCAGACCTGGGTTCTCAAAGCCAGGTGTCTGGTTCTTAGTCCAGCATTTCCCCCACCATGTCACAGCCTCCGGGCTGAGCCAGGCGTTTTTCAAAGCCCAGGAAGCTAGAGTTGGCCGCCTCCTGCTGGCAGGGAGTTCCTTCCAGGCTTCTGGTGCTACTGCCAAAGCAGGGAGGGTGGGAGAATCAGAGGAGAGTAGATTATACACAGAGAGGTCCGCACTTCTGTTTCCCTTCCTTGTCAAGGAAGGAGGGAATGCATTACGTGGGGGATGCAGGGGGGACAGGAAAATCAATCATTCATGGCAGTTAATAAGTGTCAGAAAAGTATTTACTCACATTTATCCCTTGAAAGTCACATTATTCATCTGCTCTGATTTGTCTTTCCCTGATGGCATCAGCCAGGTGGGCTCAGCAAGAAACAGCAAAAGGTTTTAGCCAATGTTGCAGAGAGAGTTTCATTTAACTTCATTTTTTTTTCCAGCCACAGGGCTGGCTCCAAAGCTAGTTTTTCTTACTAGGTTGTTTGCTACATGCAAAGCCAATTCCCAGAGGTTTCTGAGATTGCCGACATCCTATGCAAGATGACTGCTCCCACCCACGCGCCCACCCACTCACTAATAAGACATAATGCCGTCCTATTTTTGGTAACAATTAAAGGGCCTCCCGGTGAAAGCAGAAAGCTGTTTATTTTCTGTGACATCACTTCGCTTTGCCTTCGAAGGCTGGTCTGTGCTCAGTGTTTTCCTGGTGATGCAAGTCGGCTCTCTCCTCCAGCAGTTGGATCCCTCCCATCTCACAGTACCTCACAGGTCTCTTCCCCCGAGCAGTGCATTGCTGGAGCGAGGAGAAGCTCACGAATCAGCTGCAGGTCCCTGTTTTGAAAAAGCAGAGATACAGAGGCAGAGGAAAAAGGGTGGACTCCTATGTGACCTGTTCCTAGAGCCAGACAATCACCATCTGAATTCCAGAAGCCCTGTTCATGGTTGGGGATATTTTCTCGACTGCATGGAATCAGAAAGAAGCAAAAGGATGGGAAATGCCTGCATTCCCCTGAAAAGAATTGCTTATTTCCTATGTCTCTTATCTGCGCTTTTGCTGACTGAGGGGAAGAAACCAGCGAAGCCAAAATGCCCTGCCGTGTGTACTTGTACCAAAGATAATGCTTTATGTGAGAATGCCAGATCCATTCCACGCACCGTTCCTCCTGATGTTACCTCATTGTAAGGCCCGTAAGCATTTTGATATCTAATTTACAATTTAAAAATTCCAGCCGGTGGATTTGGGGCTTTGCATGTATTCGTGGAAGGGCATGGAGAGAGAGAGATTCCTCTTGCATGCTTGGCCATTTGACAGTGCTAACATTTGCTGCATTTAGAAATTTTGATTTTTTTTTTTTAGCTGCTACTGAACATGCTTAGATCTCCCCAGCCCTGAACATTATCATGAGAAACCTGTAGCCGATTCATTTCTCTGACTTCATCTGGGAAGGAATAGTATTGTACTTCATAAAATAGTGTCAAAATAGTCACTGTTATGCTAAACCGGATTAACCTAAGGTTTGTTCTGTGTGTGTGTGTGTGTCTTTGTGTGTGTCTGTTTGTTTGTTTTGTGTTTTTTGTTTTCTTTCAGATCCTTTGTGAGATCTGGTTTTACTGAAATCTCAGAAGGGAGTTTTTTATTCACACCATCGCTGCAGCTCTTGTGAGAAATATTTATATCATGACTATTTTTAATATGGCATATATTTGGATAAGCCTTCTAGTAAAATGATCTCAATATTAATTTTGTCAAATGTGATTCTATTTCTGAAAAAAAAAAAAAAAAAAAAAAAAAACAATATCAGTACAGTGAGAGGTAGATGGGTTTGTTTGGGACTTCACACTAACAGAGCAGGTTGATTCTTACAATGGTAAATTTGTTAACCTGTCGTGCTGTCTACTCTCATGGCTATTTATGAAGTTGTCAGAATGTTGCAACAATGATCCCAATTCCATTCCACTATTTTACTTTCATTTTTAACTTGGGAACTTTGGTTCTTTTGCCCTGGAGTTTTTGAATTAGTCAATACAGAACCCAGCATAACATATGCGCTCAAGATGTTGTATCCTGGGGATCTGGGGCAGGCTGCTACTCTGTATGATTTACCATGTGGGGAAAAAAAACACCTCCGTTCTTTCTAGGTAATTCCTTAAAATATCAATTCTCAAGAGATTGTTTTTTAATCTCATCTAATTTATAACTAGTTCCCTTCCAAGGAGGGAAAGAAAATATTAATATAGGATAGTGCAAAGGATTACTCTCTGCTATGTGTTTTGAGTTGGCCACAAGGGAACCACATATTCAGTCTATGCCTGAAAATATTCAAAAAAATAATATTTGACCAAGAAATCAGATCTGTTCACAGGCATAATGGAACATGTATAATTTGTTTTGATGTGTAACGTTTGACTATTGGAGTCCTGGTTCTTACAGCAGCATCACGTGGGGGTAGAGAGGTCTCCCAGGACTCAGGTATCAGGCAACAGACTTGGTTTGTAGCTGGACAGATATGGGCAGAACTAGCCAATTGTGGATCGTCTGAGTCTTGGCTATCTTAACGGCATGATTCAGGACCCAAGGCTTTCACTTGTTTGTTTTTTAGTCTTTTGGTTTTCTTGCCTTACTTGGCTGTTTTGGCTGTTTGAAGTTACATACACAGGCAAACAGCATGGAGTTGCCATTGGAGAGACAAGTGTTTAAACCTCACCCGGACACTCATAGAACCTAAACATGTAGTCTTGTGCAGATTACTAAATCTCACTGAGCCTCAGTCTCCTTATCTGTAAAATGGAAGTGAGAACACATACTTCCAAGGTTTAAGTAGATAAAACACTTGGCATAGGGTATGGCGAATGCTTATACATTTTATAAATGGCAGGGTTTTAAAATTTTACATCAAGCTAAAAAGCTAAAAGTCACTCAATCTATTGTTTTGTCCAAATGAAATCCTTGAACTGGTTTGACTCTTTCATTGAATTCACAAACTTGATCAGATGTTTTGACATTATGTAATGATGTTGGCTAATGTCCTTCTCCTGGCTGATGTCTTCAAATGATTAACAATTGACTAGATATTCCTAAGGTGTTTATCTATTTGATTGATAGCTAGTGGTGTGATTGGAGAAAGTGTTAGTTAGTACAGCAAACAAATCCAAAAAAGATAGATTCTTTCCCACAGAAAGGGGCAGAGTCTCTAATGCTGGGGTCCTTCCATAGAATAAGAATTTGCTGCCTCTGAGAAAGTGATAAATTGTGCTTATGGTGTCACTTGTTAAATAAATAAATGGCTCATTTAAAAAGTATCCTTTTGATATGCTAAGGCACCTCCCTTCCCCTAGGATAAATAGATCAGTCCTTAAAATTGAAGGAGTAGTGTCAGTCAACACTAGATGGACATTAGCTGTGGCACAGAAAGCCGGAGTGATTAACCTAATCAGTTACCACATCTCCACTTTGTTTTTATTGAGTGGACCCAGTCACGGCAAGCACAGATGCTGGACAATGTTATAGAAATAGTTACCGGCTGCTGCAGGGTAATGTGATTACACGTATTTAGAATCACAGAGGGAAGCCAAGGGACCGGTTTTTAAATAGCCCAACCGAGTGTGTGCCATGCCCGTGTCCCATGCTCTGAGTTCCTATGGAACATTCCAGCCTTTATTTCTAAAAGCAGTTCAGGTTTCAGAAATAACAAAAGGCGAGTAATTCTTGCCCTGTTTGTTCTCAGTTAACTGGGATGGGCTAACCTCAATATGGTAGACTTGTGCCAGTGCTGATATTATGCAAAATTGTCAGGGGTCAGAGTTTGGCCCTAATCTCCAGGACCCTGTTCCTAAAGACTCTGTTCTCCATCCTTCCTGCCCAGTGTTCTCTGCTTCCTCTTATCCTCATGAAAAGGTCTAATAAACTCCTGTGCACTGAGTAGGAAATAAATGAGAAGGCTCTGAATATGAACTATGACACGATCATAACAATTGTGGGAATGCATGGATCACAGACAGAAAGGTCTCGTCTGTGAGATAGGGCTGTACAGTACCATGAAAATACCACATGGGCTGCCAATCTCCCATTGGAACATGAAGACCAGGGGCACTGGACCACCAGATTAGGCCTAGATGGCACAAGTCTTTGAGGTTTGCAATGAATTCCAGCAGCATTTGTGATTGTGAATTACCACACTCACCCATCATACCCTGTGAAGAAATAAATTTCGGAATCCATTCGGCTTGATTGATGTAGGAAGACAGTAAGTTGGTTTCTTGTTTTGTTGCTGGGAAGGGTTAAAGCAAATGTCCTATTTCCATCATCCACCCTAAAAATCTGATAATGTCGTTATGCCCCAGATGCTTTTTCAGAGCTTCTGCAAAAGCCATGATGAGAAGTACTTGTTGAAATGTCAGTCTGGGGTACTGAGGAAAACAGACATGGTATCTTAAGTTACATGCAATGTTTGGGAAAAGATCCTGGTAGGCCGCAGCTGGTAGTTTGTGTTGGAGAACAAGAAAAAGAAAACCCCACACTGTAGAGAAGAGAGAGAGAAAATAAAATTATTCAATAAAAATTCATCAGATTAGTTGTAAAATACATTTTAAAAAAAAATCTCACTTATGGTTTTAAACATAACAACAAAAACCTTTCCCAAGCAAATGCAATTTCATTCATGTTTTACATAGGGCCAGCTTCGAAACATAATCAATGACAACGGTTATGCAGTCTAGCTTGCTTTTAGTAATAGAAAGTGGTACTTTTAGTGAATGTAATTTAGAGAAATGTGTTTTCACACATTACAGCCCTGTTCCTTCCCAACTACAGACTGAAATCCCCAATGATTGGAAGTGAAATTCAAATTTAAGAGGACAAAATGTAGCCACGTTGCCACCCATTTATAATATATTTTAATGAACTAAACCCCTGTAATTCCTGAGAGAGCTCTGTTTTCAGGGAGTGATTTCCAGGATAGTTTTAGTAACATGTTCAAACAAAACAACACAAAACAAAACACTGCGTATAAGAATTGGATGTGAACAGAAAAAATTTCTTCGTATTTTGATGGGATATATTCTTGTTTGAAACACAGAATTGATCTTTCAGCATCAAAGGAGGGGAATAGTATTATTTTAAAAATTAATCCACAATCAACACATAGATACGTAAGAAATTAAAACTAAAAACAAATGGAAAAGCAAAAGACATGAGCAAAAGAAGGAGTAAATCCATCCTTACTAAGGCTTTATCATTTAGTCCTTCAAAGTATAATTTGTCCAGGAAAAATACTCATGGCCTCCTTTACCTTTCAAGCAATTGCTACCTTTTTATACTCCTCCTTGTATTACAGGCTTACAATTTAGCAGTCTTCAGGGACCACTCAAGCCAGACCTATCAGCCAAGAATGCTTTTGGAGGAATTATTACCTGACTATAGATGAGTATGTTTTGGTTTGTACCCAGCTGATGCCCCCATGATGGACCAAAAAGCAAAAATTTCAGTCATCTAGGCTGTTTTGTCTGTAGTTTGCCCAATGATCCATAGATCTAATCTTTTGCTTTTTAGTTAATTACTTCTTTTTGTTTTTACTTTCCTAAAAATAATTTGAACTTTTATTTTAGATCCAAGTTTCCATGTATAGGTTTGTTACTTGAAGTGAATTAATTCTCATAACTGCATAAACTAGTGCTTACCACAAATGTTTTCTTTGAAAGCATATTTCATCCTTTCGGTTATTTAGGCAATAAAACTTCAGAGCTACCTTCTCTTTCACTATCCACTTCCACCTGGACGAGTATCCTGTCCAACAGCATGAGAATCTGCCTCCTCCTCTTCACCGCAGCATCACTGCCTTAACTGAGGCTGCATTTCATTCACTATTTCAGAGGCTGTGGCAGGAGCTTCCACACCTCACTCTCTGCTTTCAGTTCCCATCTGACCCATCTCCATTAGCGCTGCCTTTCCTGAGACACAGCTCTCCATGCTTTCATGACTCCCTAGAAACAGAGAAAGCCCAGACACCTGAGCTGGCATCCATAGCATTTGTTCCTTTCTATTTGTCCACAGTTATCACTCACACCATTGACTACACACACACACACACACACACACACACACACACGCCCAAACAAGTTCCATTCAGATCACTGCAGGATCTCATTCTATAACCTCTGTTGATTCTCAAATTCTCTAGACTTTACTGATGTCTCTGGTATTGTGTACCATTTGTTAGAACTACAGTGCTTGTGTCTGCCTTGTGTCTTTCATGGAGGGTCGCCAATAAGCTGTGGCCCCAGACATGGCTTCCCATATATTTGTTGAATCCAGTTTATGTTTCCATAGATTTTGTGCTGAAGACTCCTGTGTTCCTCTCAGCAGATAGTGCTGGTTATGTTCACACTCTTTCTGATGTTTGGTGCACCCTATATAAGTTCACGTGAACTAATGGTGTGGAGGTCTGGGAAGTGAGCCGAACTAAAATAATGCAAGGAGATATTTGCTCATGAAGTTATGAATTCAAACTTCCTCAGCAGAGATTTCCAGCCTTCCTTATTTCAGCGGCAAAGCATCCAAACCTTTTCTTAGACCCACTGCTTGAATCTCTTTTGTCCCACACTGACTTCACATTTGGCCTCCTAGGGTTTTAGCTGGACTGCAAAGGCTGACTAGTCTCTCCT